TATGAGAATTACATCTTGATAGAGCTATTAAAAAGAAAAGACAAAGCAATCTACCAAACTCCTAAACCAGTGGGCTCCATCCCAGAAAACTGGTTCATAACCAGAAGCTATAATTTTCTTTATTTGTATAATAATCATCTGAAGTATAATACATAAAAATGGAACTTATTTATTTGCTTTTTGTCCAACATGTTTTTGTACTAAATGTTTGAGTGGCTGTCCATTTGAATTCCTCAGAGATCTGAGGGACAAGCCCATCTGCCTATTGTGGTTTGCCACCATTCCTCCTATTCTTCCAGTGCCTTACTCAGTATTTCCACACAGTAAATTGTCAATGGCTGTGTGTTAAGTCAATGAATTAATACTGACTATATCTGAAAGTTTAAGGAGGCAATAGTGTGCCTATGAAGGAAAATGAAGTTATAAACAGGTAAATGCAGAAAACAGTTTTGGTTCTATTTTCAGCAACTCAGAAAATACTGTTTACATAAAAATCTATATGTAGTCTCTCATTGGAATTTTAACTTCATGTCAACCAAGAGATACAGTACTATTTTTGGAACCTCTAAATCACTCTGAATCTGGTTATTCTTAGTTTAGATTAAAGGAAAATAAAGCCTATCACAAGGAAGGAACAGGATGAAAGATTTAAGTCAGATGAACTGCAATTTTTCATACTATGTTTTTTTCCATCACTTTATGAAGAAAAAATTTAGGCATTTCAGTTGAATTTAAGTCAAATGTGCTTAAGTTACTTTTAAACATTTAAAATTAGCATAGTATTAAAATGGCTTTGAGGAAAGCTTCTAAATACTCAAGTTTCAAGTCTAGAAAAAATATTTAATCACATTTACAAATTGGTTTATCAAATTTGACTATTAATCCTTTTGCCACAAAAGAATCAATTTCTTGATTTCCCTACACACCGGCAGCATTTATTTGTGGAGACATAACTCAAAGACACAGGCTCTGCAAGGGAACAAGAAAGTTATTCTTAACCTTGCATCCTGCGCTTCTAGGTCTTATTATCACAAAAAGGTTTTGTTACTGGTGGGAATGCCCCTCTCAGGATAGAAATCAAGAGAGTAGGCGAAACAGTTTTGCAGAGAGAGGTTTATTAAAGTGAAAGCTTGATTTACCAAGGAGGCACAATGGATACAGCTCCCGGAGACTTAGAGGCACTGTGGTTTTGGTTCTTGGGGTTGGAGGCCACCCCTTCCTCTTTCCTTGTTCCACCCAATGTTGAGGCGGGTCCTACATTGCACCTGTGCAGTGTACCTACATGCTACATCATGCATTGAATGTCTCATTAGCATCTTAAAACTCCACCTAGGGGAGAGTTTTTTATTATGATAATGAGGAAGAGTTAACTATAGGAAAGCTCTTTTAACTAATGCGCATGTTCAACTTTAGACACTTTTCCTGGGCCTGGCTATCTATCCTGTGATTATAGTTCTTTCTGCTCATTGCTGCTGATTGGGTGGGGGATGTGGCTCAAGGCTGTTTTCCCCAGCTGCAGGCTCCAGCTACATGACCACCCACTGCAGTTTCAACCACTGGGTGAGTTGAAGCTTCTCACTATTGTCAGTTTGGTCTGTGATGAGTATGGTTTTCTGTTTACTCATAATCATCCCATCCAGAATCAATCTGAGCATTTAATTAAAACAAAGTACTGTAAAAGTACAAAATACAGAACAAAGTACTGTAAAGGAATAAAAGTTCTTTTCTGAGGTTAAGAAAGAAATGTGTTTTTTTTGTTGTTTTTTACTTTTGGCTATCTTTCCTCTTTCTGTGAGACAACCACTTTGAAGTAAAAATAATAAACAAGAGAATCAATGTAATGTAGAAGAATAGGGCTAGTAGACATTAGACCTAAATTCTGGACTCTGGTTTTATCACTTAACTTCTCAGAGTCCTCTCTGTAAAACTGTTACCCTGTAACAGGACTGCAGGGCCTGCCTGAAGGTCTAAGAGGCCTGGCTGAAACTCCCCCCTGCTCTAACTTTACCTCTGAAAACAGGGAGGCCCAAGGTCAGCAGTTATGAACTTGTCAAGACTAGCTGAAACCAGTGGAAACCATGATTGTCTAAAGGACCTCCAAAAGAGTTTAAAGCTCATTATAATATAATCTCCCTGCTAAATAACACACCTACGAGTGCCATGACAGTTGACAGCTGCCATGACAATGGCCATAAAGCAACAAAAAGAGGGTAGAACCCTGATTCGGAGACAGAGCTGCCCCTTTCCCTGGAAAACCCATGAATATTCCTCCTACCTATTTACCTAAACCTCCCCTTCATTTCTACTATCCCATTTCAGGTACTTGTGGACGGCTAAGGGAGGAGAAGTTGACCTGAGAGCTGTGCTCCTGCTTCTTTACTCTCTGGCCGTAGAATAAAAGCTTACACGGTTAAAGCTCACTTTTGGGAAAAGAACCCTGCTTGGGGTCCTTGAAAAGGAGACTTTTGCCCATTCGTAACAAATGGCGACCATGGAGGGACCTGTGGGCTGATCACCCACCTCTCTGTTCTGGGAAGCTACATCGGCCCTTCCTCATCCCGCTACTAGGAGAGGAGGAATCAGAGACATCAGACTGAACTTCTTTAACAGCCAATCATGGGCAAAACAGGAGGAACGGGATGGGTAGCAAGGATAGATCCTCTGGGCTAACAGGGCTGAGGACCCACTCGCTTGAAATCAGGGTTACGCCCAGCACCAGGTCTGTGGTTCTGTCTGGAGTCTGGAATGTCCCCACGCCACCCCCACCCTCAGGAAACAGTGAAAGAGGAACTGTGATACCCACTATTGACATTACAGGAATTTCAGGCCTTTCCTGGGTGCGTGTTATCTAAGGGTTACCCTCCTATTGTAAAGACTGCCCTCTTCCCTTTATTTCTCTCTGCCCTGTCTCGCTCTCATCAGCCTTGTCCTGGCACCCATCTGCCCTGACCCAACAGGGCATCACTTCTTCCTTTCTAATTCCTCCCTCCCTCCCTCTCAGGGTTGGACTTTCATATAACTCCCCGTCACGCTCCCTGATGCTCTCTTTCTGGTTCCCGTCCCTTCACACGGAGGACTTGGCCTCTCTGGAGCCACTCTGACCCATCCCTCTTCCCCCACTCCACTTTCCTTCTCCTCGGAACCTTGATTTCTCTAATTAGCCAGTTACTAACTTGCTTGGCTAGTTACCCTTCCTTCTCCTCCTCATTTCCTTGTTCCTTTAGCCTTCCTTTATCATTTCTTTAATATGACTCTCAATCCCTGGGAGTTTTGATTCTGTAACTTTCTCCTGGCACCCTACATGGAGGAGTCCAGTCCCATATTCCACAAAAGACCCCACACTTCCCCGGGTGGCCCAGGCCCCAGGCCCAGGCAAGTGTCTTGCCAATATTGCTGTTGGTATTGTCACCACACCATATCACCCACTTACTCTCTGGAGCCAAGATCTAATAGAAAAGCTTTCAACTTCATTTGGGCAAAGAGTTGTGGGATTTGTGTTCCTGCCAACCGCCATTCCAACCGCTTGGGGAGTTGGACACAAGTCCTTGAAATGGGGTCTTTCATTCCTTGGCAACAAAATGACATAACTGTCCAACTTCCCATAAAGACTAAAGATTATGTATACGTGAAAGTCCTCTGACATGGAAAGTCCTCTGACCGTGGTAGTGTAACATATAATGCTTTAGAGTGCATGCGTACTGTACATAAATAACTACGATAGAACTCCCTTTATATATTATTCTTTGTTTCTCTGCCTCTGCCCCACCCATGCACCATGCAGCCTTCTGGAGTATCACTATAGGCCTTCACATTGGCTGGACTTGCTTCTTTGGCAAAGCCACCGGTCTCCCTTTCAGCAGCACCCTGGAGCAGGCAAGGTCAATCACCAGTCCTTTCTCCCCCATAACCCTTCCAGGGCCAGGGCTTCACTACATTTCTCACATCATGGCCCATACAGAGTGACATTGTTTATACATCCCTGACACACTATAATAAACAAAGGGGCTCTCTGGCTGCCCCAGCACTATGCGTCTGCCTGAAGCTTAAGGGGTTGAATGTATCAGACACATCTGTAATGACTGGGAATCTCTTATGACAGCCTCTCACTCTCCTCATGCAGAGCAGAGGAGTATGGTGGTCAAATCCAGAAACCATCATGGTAAAAAACAGAGCATATCAAATGAGAATAAAAAAGAGGCCCAGGTGTATCCAAATTCAGACAGAGTGTAATCTAGTAATGGCTGCTGCTGAAGCTGAGGTTCCAGAAGGTGAATGTGGGGGTAGAGGAGGAAACGTAGACACCCTCCTAGGTGTGAATTAGGACCCAGGTAAACAGGGAAAGCAGAAGGCCACAGGGCAGCTGGGTTTTTCAGATCTTTGTAATATGAGTTGATGTGGGCATGTTCCTTTTTCAGAGTCCACATACTAGTGACCAGACATCCAAAAACAGGTTTTACCTTTCAGTTGTGCCATGTGACAGCTGTCTGTCAAAATTAGGTCAAGGCTGCTAAGCACAGCACTGACATACAACGTGATAGGGCTATTTCTGCTGTCAGATGGATAGTTCTAATCTAAACTTGTCCCAGATGAAGAAAATCAGACTGAAACAAAGTTATAAAATAAACTGGGCTGTGTTACCTACAAGCTCCGTTATTGGTAGCTGACAGAAGGCAGTTTCCTCTACTCCCTTTCCGGACTCCCACATTGTAGCTAAGTCTTCCGTGAGTAAAGAAAAGCTAAACATCACCCCCATCCTAGGTTGCTTCAGAAACTGTTGCAGTTGCCATTGCCAAATTGAGCATCCACCCTGCAGGCTCTCTGCACACATCTGGACCTGTAGAGCCCCAGTGATCTAGAACACTTGAGACAGCAACAGAAAGAATAGGAGAGCAAACTTTTCGCTCAATGAAAGTTTATTTTAGAGGTAATCAGTCAGCTCAGGCGGCTATAACAAAATAACACAGGCTGGGCGGTTTAAACAACAAACCCTTATTTCTCACAGTTCTGAGACTGGGAAGTCCAAGGTCAAGGTGCCAGCAGATTGGGTTCTTGGTGAGGGAGGGCCTCCTTCTTGATTTGTAGACAGGTGACTTCTTGCGGTATCCTCACATGCAGGACAGAGAGAAAAAGAGAGAGAAAGCTCTGTGGTCTCTTAGAAAGGCACTAATACCATCATGAGGGTTCTGCCCTCACGACCACTTTCACTCTTTTAACCTAATCATCTCCCAAACGCCCCATCTCCAACTATTATCATGCTGAGGATTAGGGCTTCAACATATAAGTTTGCAGGGAACATAAACATTCAGTCCACAACAAACGTTTTTGCTAAATGCTCTGGAGACATGAGGGATATGAGTCACGAAACTCTCTCAAATCACAAGATGTACATATATTTCCTCAAAGCACTGTGTATACAAGTGTATGTACACACAGGGGTGTATATAATTTATAACATGTGTTGGTGGCACTTTAAATTGAAATCTCATATATTTTCAGTTACTAATACCTTCTAGGAAGGCAAGCTTTATAATCACATATTTTTGTTAAGCTGTATGTAGTCCTATAAGGCACAAGATATCTTTACTTTGAAAAGAACAGCCACCAAGTCCTGGATGGCAGAATAAGCACTGTGAAAGCATTCAGACACCTAAATTATTGAGGTTGGAAGTTTCATTTTCTGCAGGTACTATCAGTTGTCTCACTTCTCTCAGTCTATTGACCATGTTCCACTTTTTGCCCTGCAGACTTTTCACCAAATCATAACCTGGAAGAATGTTGAAATCACAACAATCTTCACTTCAACCAAAAGCAACAACTGCACTATTTAGGTATCTGGGACTGGTGAATTTTCAGTCTGTAAGCTACAACTTTCTATTTTAATTTGGAGGGCTCAACATTCAAAATTAATAATTACACTTTACACAAATGTGGAGAAATAAATGACTGCCTTTAACTTTCATTTTATAAAAAATACAATAGAGTTACAAAAAACTTAATTTTGCTTTTGCTAGGTTAAAATGCACTATTGTGTTCACATTTTAAGTAAAATTAACTATGGAAGCAAGAGTTTTTTCCTACACTCAAGATTCATGATATAAAATGTTTACTGAATTGAGAAATTTTCAGCTGGGCTTCCCATACACATGATTTTCCATGGTGGAATCATCTGATGCCTAGGATTCAGTGTACTCACACATAACTTTCAAATATAGTTTTATGAGTTTGGAGAATATGCCATGCTTTCCAACAGAAAGCAAGACTGAGATATCAGTGTGGAAAGCAGGCCTGGCTGAAGGGCTCCTGAAATAGAAGTGCCTTACATAAAACATCTGAAAATGACAGATACCAAGGCATAAAAATAAAAAATTTCCAAAGTAATTAGACTAGTGATTATATCATTGTCACTATTGTTAATATTAACTAATATTAACTAATATTTATGTGTCAGTTTCACTGGCCATGGGCTGCCCAGATTAAACATTATTTCTAGGTCTGTCTGTGAGGGTATTTCTGAATGAGATTAGCATTTGAATTGCTGGATTCAGTACAGCAGATTGCCCTCTCCAAAGAGGATGGGCATCATTCAATCCCTTGAGGACCTTTCTGAACAAAAAGTGGAGGAAGGAGGAATTCTCCCCTTCCCTTCACCCCTCACTGTTGAGCTGGGATGTCTCATCTTTTCTTGCCCTCAAGAAAATATGGTGGCTTTTCCAAGTCTCTAGCTTGCAGATGGCAGATAGTGGAACTTCTACTGGTCTGTTTCTCCGGAGAACCCCGATGAATACATTTACCCACTGGCACCTGTGAACATAACATTCAATGTAGATGGAGAGAGTAGAGACTCTGCTCCCCAAAGAATAAAATTACTTCTCAGGAGAAAAACTTCTCAAATGTGCTTTTCTCAGCTGGTTATATATAATTCAAATCTACTCTTTCCTACATCTTATATTACAAATAGTAAATATATCTATAGTTTGGTTGGAAAGAAAAATAGAGATGGAAGATCTGGGTTCAAATTCCAGCTCTGCTGCTTACTACCTGTAGCCTTGGCAGGGCTTAGTTCCTTCCTCTGTAAGACTTAAGTTAATAATACCTACCTCATATAATTGATGTGATGAAATTATATATAGTTAGGCATTCACTTAAAGGGGTTTTTAAAATTTCCTTTACCATTCCATAAATTAGAAACAGTAAACTCCTTATCTTTTTGCTCAAGTTGCTACCTTGTAATATTTGATATTTATGACCTTTACACATGACTACTTTGAAGGACAGTGTCATGGACTGAAAGTTTATGTACCCTCAAAATTCATAGGTTGAAGCTCTAACACCCAATATAATGGTATTAGAAGGTGCGGTCTTTGGGAAGTAATTAGGTTTGGGTGAAGTCACGAGAGTGGCGCCTCTAGAGGAGATTAGTGACTTTATAAGAAAAGACCAAAGATATCCATCTAGCTCTTCTCATATCTCCATCTCTCTCCCCTCCTCTGCCCGCACCCCCACCCCACAGCAAAAATATCATCAACTGCAAGTCAAAAACAGGGTTCTCACCAGGAAACAAATTAGCTGGCATCCAGGTCATGGGACTTCACCGCCTCCAGAACTGTGAGAAATAAATGTCTGTTGTTTAAACTACCCAGTTTATGGTATTTTGTTATGGTAGCCAGAGTTGAATAAGAAAGATAGCATTCACTTATTTGCATGTAAATATTTTTGTATTAAATTCAAATAAATAAAACTTTTTTTATTGCTTTACATTTAACTTTCACCTGATAAGAGATACTAATGGCTTCTGCACTTTTTTGGAAAGTGTTTTCATATACTTCTTTTGACCGATAAAAACCAACCTTGTGCGATATACAGGATGTGGATTATTCCTCCCATTTTACAAAGAAACACAGTACAGTCAGAAGTTCAGAGGTCACACCAATGACCATTTCTGATCAATCTAATTAATTTTTAAATAATTCCAGACTCCTCTCAGCCCAAACAATCTCATGTGCCTGATTTTATGTAATTTACTTTGTGAATAACACCAGAAAAAGACTCAGTAGGATACTGGTTTAACCATGGGCACAATCTTTTTCTTGTATTAAAGAGTAAAACTAAAGCTTACTCACCAAGATGTTTCATCCAAACCTCAGCACAAGATACCCACATGGCCAAAGTCAGGTCTTGCGGGTGCTCTACCATGATCTGCTATAAATAGATTTGGACCCAGAGAATGTAGACAAAAAAGACAGGATGAAGTGTACAACAGCAGCTGCCACACTTAAAAATGTTGGCGCTATTTTAAAATCCTTTGCTTTAATTTACTTTTCTGTCTGTCTCTCTTCCCTATCATCACACCCATTTTATCTAGTTTTCAATTGGTACATGAAACCAAAGGGTAGGGTGGTTGAGTATGACACAAATTATCCCGAACTGAAATTATTCTAATATGTGCTTCTATTTTATTTTATAAAATGTTTCTTTTCAAATGTGGAAATCCTCAAGGATGCATTATCCAGAAGAATTATCCAAAACTCTATCCAGAATGAATGATCTACATGCTGTTATTATATTTTAGAGCTGCATTTTTAGATATTAATATACAAATCTATTGTGTACTCTTTTGAAGAGCCTCAGTGATGAAAAAATATTTGATTTTGGAAATAGTTAATCATCTGACTAGTAAGTAAAGGTGGATGAACCAACTAGGTAATTCTGTTTGAGGTTAAATAATAAATGTGGCAGTAAAATAAAGAGACTGACTCCTTATACATCATCTACAAACTAGCTCCTCAAACACATAATGCTCTTTCCTACCTTAGGACCTTTGAACAATTGCTTCCAGCTCTTGGAATCTTTTTATAGTATGCTCTTTTTCACCCATAAAAGAGTTAAGCATCACTTACAAGAAGCCTTCCCTGAACACCCTAATGCCAGAGTGGTCTCGCTCTATATCTACATTTATCTAAATCAGTGTCATGTTTGTTTCTTTAGTAATAATTACCACTGCTTATTTTTAAATTATTATTGTTTTTATCTCTTCCTCTCAACCTGTGCTGTCCAATACAGTACCCGCTAGATACACGTGGCTATTTAAATTTGAATTCAAATAAATTATAATTAAATAAAATTAAATTAAAAATGGCAAATCAGATTTCATGAAAATTAAAAACTCTGTTCTTTGAAAGACACTGTTAAGAAAATAAAATGACAAGGCACAAAATGGGAGAAAATATTTGCAAAGCGCATTTATAATTAAATACTTTAATTCAGAATATATACGTAACTCTCAAAACTCAATAATAAGAAAACTAACAACCCAACTGAAACTGGGCAAAATATTTGAACAGGCACTTCACTAAAGATAACACATGAGTGACAAGTAAGCACATGAAAAGGTGCTCAGCATCATTAGTCATTAGGGAAATGCAAATCCAAACCATAATAAGATTCCACTTTTTACCTTCTAGGATGGCTATGATCAAAGACAGATAATAAGTGCTGGTGCGGATATGGAGAAACTGTACTCTTATACACCGCTGGTGAGAATATAAGACCATTTTGGAAAATAATTTGACAGTTTCTTTAGAAATTAAACATACGCCTAAAATATGACCCAGCCATTCAACACCTAAGTATTTACCTCAAGGAAATGAAACCAATGCAAAGCCTTGAAACCTGGAACCGACCCAAATACCCATTAATAGGTAAATGGATAAACAAACTGGTTTACTCACATGATGGAATACTACTCAGCATAAATGAACTACTAATAGCCAAAAAAACAGAGATTAATCTCAAAATAATTATATTGAATTAAAGAAGCCAGACAAAAAAGAATACACATGATTCCATTTACATAAAATTCTTGAGAATGCAAATTAATCTATAGTTGCTTAGGAATGGGGAGGGAACAAAGGGATTAACAACAGACATAAGGAAGCTTTGGGGGATAATAAATGTGTTCATTATCTTGATTGTGGTGATGGTTTCACAGGTGTATACATAGGCCAAAACTTACAGATTTACACACTTCAAATATGTAGCGTATTGTATGTCAATTATACCTCAGTGAAGCCGTTAAAATTTTTTAGCTCCTCCTCAGTTGTACCAGCCACAGTTCAAGTGCCCAGAAGCCACATGTAGCTAATGGCTATCAAATTGGACACTGTAGATAAAGGGCAGTTCCATCATCACAGAAAGTTCTGGTCAACAGTGATGCTCTAGACCAGGGGTCAGCAAACTACACTCCAGGGACCCATACTACCTGTTTTCTATATAAAGCTTTATTGGAACACAGCTATACCCACTCATTTATATATTGTCTCTGGCTGCTTTAGCATTACAATGGCAGAATAGGTAGCTGCAACAGAGACCTTATGGTCTATAAACCCAAATTATTTACTATCTGGCCCCTTAAGAAAAGGTTTGCTGATCCTGCTCTAAAGCATAAATTCTGCTCACTGCTGTACATAATTAATATTGAGTACCTAATATATAGTACTGTCCCAGGCACTGAGGAGGCAGCCTTGAACGATACAGAAAAGGTCCCTATTCTCATGGTTTTCACAATCTGGTGAGAGGTTCAGGTAACATAACAAGGAAGTAAATAACATATCAGGCATGATGAATGCTAAGATGAAAATAAAACAGAAGTTATAGAGATGATTAAGGGGCAACTTTAGGTAGTCAGGACAGGCCTCTAGGAGGACCCAAGATCTGAACAATATGAAAGAGTCAACAGTGCAAATACCTGTGGTACACACAGAGGGAATAGCAAAACCAAGGCCTCAGAATAGGAATGAATTTGATGACTTGATGTTTGAAAAATAAGGCCCATGTGGCTGGGCAATACACAAACAAGGTGGAAAAGGTAGATGAGTTCAGAGAAGTAGAGAAGGCTAAGAGAAAGAGTCTGAATTTCATTCTAAATATGATGGAAAGCCACTACAGGATTTTAAGCAGGCAAGCAACATGATAAATTTACATTTTTGAAGATTACTCTGGTACAGCTAAATGAAGACTAGGTCAGGGAAGAGTAAGAGAGGCGTTAAGACAAGTTAGGAAGTTTTCACAAAGATGCAAGTGAAAGGTGGTGGTGGTTTGGCTCGGACTACCATGGCAGCAGTGGAGATGAAATGGACAAATTCAAGGTATGTTTTGAAGTGACATTTGACTGGCTTTCTGATGGTTGTTGTAGAGTGAGGAAATGAAAATGAATTCTAGATTTTTGGTTTGAACAACTGGGACACAGTACTATGAATTACAGATATGAGGGAAAGTATAAACAGTAAGAGCTAACATTTATTGAGAGCTTATTACATTCAATATTTACTCAATTTCACATTTAATTTTCCCAATAATCTTGAGGAGGTAGGTATTATTGTTATTTTCATTTTACAAAGAGGAAACTGAAAAGGTTAAGTAACTTACTTAGGTCAGAAAGGTAGAACCAATACAATGGAGACTTGAATCTAAGTCATCACACTAAATTTGACCACATTGTATAAAACTGACTGTTTGACAGTAGTTTCTGGGAATATGAACTATATTCTAGGCAATGGCAGTAACAATGAGCTAACAGATTCTCAGAATGAGTAACATGAAAGTTGCTATTGTTCTTTAAGTCTTATTATTTAAGATCATCTTATTTTAACAGAGTATAAGATATAATTGTCATCTATATACTTTCTCCAGTATGTCTTTGATTCTCATTTTACAAACGAGAAAACTGAAACAAGTTAAGTGATTTTCTCAAGATCTCTGAGAAAGTAATGGAGCTAGAACTAAAAGCTAAGTGGACTTATTCTATACAGTGGTCTGGCCAATAAATTTGCCTTTAAAATTTTGAACATTCAGTAAGAAACACATTTTACATCACTACCCCAAATACACATACATATATGAAACAGACAAAAAGTTATACAAAATAGCCCTTACTCTTATTAATGTACTAATATTTTCCATTCTATTTCATTTTTAAAAATATTGATTGTACCTGGCAATTTAAACATTGACCCAAGCCTTAGTAATTAACATTACAACCACATAAGTAAACTTATTTTTGGAAATGTCTCATGACTCACTAAAACTACAAGATCAAAAAGGCAAAATGAAATACAAAAAAGGTCAATCTGGCAAATATTTGGAATACATGAAAACTGGTTCTTAAGAGTACAAATGGCAATAATTCTATGAGCTACACGTTGAAAATATTTTATTATTACTTTCTATTGCGAATATGGAGGGCTGAAATCAGATATGCCCATAATATTTAAAATAAGCAGAGATGCACTTTTCTGGAAAAAATAGTAAAAGTAAAGAAAACAGCTCTTCAATCTCACCCCTACCTCAAAGGAGTAAAAAGCTGTAGAAAGACCAGATTGGCAAAATCTATTCCTTAACAAAAAAAAAAAAAAAAAGGGAAAAGACTAGATTGATAATGTAACAAGCCATTATAGTTTATAATAAGGGATAGCATCTTAAGGACAATGGCTTAAGATGCAAAGCATTTATTGGACAAGTACTACCTTATAATGATCAAACCACTCTAATGCTTTGTCCCTTTGCCTGTATACACGTACTTAAGCTTAACTACGCTTAGTAAAAAAGGAAGAGAACTGTTCAGGAATATTAATCTTTGACTTTTCCTAAGTCCTTACATTTACAAGGATAAAAGTTGTTTTAAAATGTATGACAATTAGCAAACATTCATTTACCTTCCCAAATGTAGTGCTAACCTGGTAAATTCTCTCATTCTCTCTCTCTCTCTCTCTCCCCCTCCCCCCCATCTCTGAAGGGGAAAAGCAACAAGGACAAACCGCAGCCTCAATACATCAAAAGCTGAGCCGCACAACAACTGATACATCATCTAGTTCCCTCCTAGATGGCTCTGCGACACGGCCAAGGTCCTTGGGAGCTCACCTACTCTTCTAATACTCCGCGCACTGATCTCACCTCTTCAAACAGACCTCTAGCCAACCCAGAATGCTGGTGGGAAGAGTCGTGAAAAGCAGTAAGATCCGGACAATCAGGGAGCCTGCATAACCCCTTAAGGCTCTAATGATATAAATGTAAAGCATCAAGATATTCTTCTTTTCCTTTTTTTTTTTTTTAAAGAGTAGATCCCTCTAAACCCAAATTTGTTTCCAAAGAAGCTGGAAGGGCATCACCAGGACACAGCAAAAACGGCCAAATAGCAGAAGGTGTTGGGGGGAGGGGAGAAGCGAGAGCAGACATGGCTAGAAACACCCAAGTCAATTCCTCAGAGAGAACAGCAGAGGCTGGCCGCTGGCGGCCACGTGCACTTGCTAAGGGAACCCTACCAAAGAAACCTGACCCGATCGGAATCGGCACGCCGCACCGCGGCTGCGTTTATCCGAAAGGAACGCTACAAGTTGTTGCCCGCGTTCCTCCTCCCAGCTTTGACAGGGAACACGCGCGCCGCCCCCACGCCTACAGCGACACCCCAACCCCTTTCCAGCCCCGCCAGGTCCCGAGGGTTAGGGGATGAGTGCAGGGCGACCTTGGCTCTGGCGACCCTCCACCGCAGGCCACCAGCCCCACCCAGCCGGGTTCTAGGCCGAACCAAACCTCCCTGTTCCTGCAGTGTCGACTGTTCGCATCCCAAGCATACCTACAAGTCTGACCGCCACCTCCGAGACCCCGAGTCCTGCCAGGAGCGCCGCGCAGGGCGCAGGGACGCTCCCCCCGCCCCCCACCCAATCCAAAGACCGCGGAGCGCCGCGCCGCCGAGTCCAGCCGGGGGGGCTGGGCCCTGCGGGCGCAGCAGCCGGGCCGCCCGCCTACCTTCCTCGGCGCGGTTGCCGCGCTCCGCCGAACGCCGCCAGCCCTGACGACCTCGGAGCGGACTCCGTCAAGAGACAGTGAGCACTCGCGGGGCCTCGGAGGGTGGGGGGAGGGACCTATGGGCCGAGGACCCGGAGGGGCGAGGGAAACGCGATGCCCCAATCCGGGCCCTCGCGCCCCAGCTGGGGAGCTGGGCTGCCTGTCGACCCCGCCGCGGATGGAGACGGGGAGGGAGGCTGCTGGGTCCGCTCCGAGAGTGATTACGACTCTAGACGCGAAAGGCTTGGGGATGCCGGGGTGGTTCGAGGATGCCGCTGGGCGTGAGAGGGCGGGGAAGGCGGGAATGTCCGAGGACTAACGCTCCGGGCCGCGAGCCTCGAGCGTTAAATCCTCGCGGCATGCGGCTTGCGCGCCGCAGTGGCGGGCGCGGAGGGTGCGCGCGGGGAGCCGGTCGGCGGCGGCGGCGGCGGGCGCGGGGCCCCGCTCCGCGTCCTCACCTTCTTGGTGCCGGGGCCTCCTGCGATCCGAGACATTCCTGTCAGGGAGGAGGAGCGCCCCGGCTGCCCCCCTAGAGTCTCTTGCTGGGGAGACATCGCTTCCATGAAGAAGACTTTCAAGCAAATCCCAGCCCAGGAGGCTACGCGGTCATGTCCGCAAGACGGCGGCCGGAGGGGCAAGGACGCGCGGGGCAGAGGCTGCCGCCGCGCTCAAGCAGGGAGCCGGGCTCCGGATGCGGCCAGCACGCCTCCCCGTCGGGGCCATGTACCGCCGCCTGCGCTCGGTACCGCGGGCTGGAGGCAATTGCAGCGGCGACCGCCGGTCCGCGCCGCGGCTCGCCCCGCCTCGGGCCCGCCCTCTCAGCGCTGGGCTCCCCGCGCGGGGACCCGCCCCCGGCCGCCCTCCTCCCGCCGCGGCCCTCCCCGCGGCAGCCCTGGCCTGCGGTGCGCCCGGCCCGGCGTCTTTCTGTGTATATGTTAGGGCACAGGCGACCGACTGACCTTCTGAATCCGGCACTTCGAGTGGGTTCAGCGCAAAGGAGCTCACGGGTTTGTGTCTTGAACCGGGGCCTCTAGCGCGCCTTTCCCGCCGCCCAGACCACTAGCACAGATCCGATCCCATCCCTTCCCGCGCTGCGCCCGCGGGGGAAAGCGCCGCTGCAGCGCGTTCATCCGCGCAGCTGTGGCGACTTCAGCCTGAACCGAGGAGTTGCAGTGATTTCTGCCTCGCTTTCAGTGGACTGCAGAGGGGTCTCCCCACCCCCTACCCCACCCCCACCCGGAGGCCTCAGGATGGAGTTGCACGTCGCAGAGTGCTGCGGCTGTACGAATTTGGACGCCCACAGCATCGCCTGACCTCTTGTGCAATCCCAAACGTTAGCCTGTCCGGGTCACCCTCCTTGGCTTCTGCAGCCATCAGTCAGCAGCTCCTGCACAATTTGCACCAGCGGTTTCCGCTGTCTGCGGGCGGCAGAGACCCGGGCATTCCAAACGTCAAAACGCACTAAAGGAAAATGTAGGCAGAGAGAGGACTCTGAAATTTGGCTTAGCTATTGAGCAGGCTACAATATGTGGAAGTGTTTATCAGATATCTGCGCTGAGAGCATAACTTCCTGTCAGCTCAAATAGTGGCAAATTTTTTTAAGGCCAGAGAATAATCAGAGGGAGGGGATTTGGAGCCGACCCGGGTTGAGTTGAGTGTTGCTGCACTTTGCAGGACTGGATGACTGATGCGGATGATTCGGTAGGTGGCATTCTTCCCTTGGAGTCAGGACTACATAAAGCGAGGATTAAGTGCTGAAGGACACCACTCGATGATAACGAGGTTGTTGAAGGAGGTTTGTTTTTGTGGCAAGAAAAAAAAAAAAGATCAAGGTTCCTGCCTGGTTGGGCTGTTATCAGGACAGGTTATAGAAGAATAGGGCTCTGGCAGGCTCTGTTCCAAGCAGGAGATGCTGTCCAAAACATACACACACCCACACACCACCACAACCACCAAACCCCAGAGCTGTTTATTGTGGAAGTAATGGGGAGAAAATGTTCCAGCCCATTTTAAGCCTTGTCCACATCACATTGTTTAAAGTAGGCTTACACAGCCTTTATAAATCATGCATATATATAATTATATAAATCGTGCTAATATAGAGATATGTATATATTTATACAGAAATAGAAAGAAATATATATTATATATTACATTATACATATATTACATTTATATACACACACACACACACACGCACACACACAATTTTTCAGGGTAATCCTCTCTTTGCTGCTTAGACCCACGTACAGTGACAGGACTTTTCACCCACTATAGAGGTTATCGTGAATTTTACACTGCAGAGGGCTTTGCAGTTTCTCTCATTCCTCGTTGAAGCCATCCTATTATGATTCATATCATGAATGGACGATCCCAATTTTCCTTACTCTGCTTGATTTTTAAAATTTATTTATTTTCAATTACAGTTGACATCCAATATTATATTAGTTTCAGGTGTACAGCATAGTGGCAAGATATTTATATAATTTAGGAAGTGATTCCCCCCCATTAGTTTAGTACTCACCTCACACCTTATACATAGTCACCACAATATTATTGACCCCTATACTGCATTCTACATCCCCTTGACTATTTCATAACTACCAATTTGTACTTCTTAATCATTTCATCTTTTTCATGCAGCCATCTGTATGTCATCTTTGGAGAAATGTCTATTCAGATCCTCTGCCCATTTTTTAATTGGTTGGTTTGTTTTTTTGGTGTTGAGTTGTATGAGTTCTTTAAAAACTTTGGATATTAACCGCTTATCAGATGTATCATTGGCAAATATCTTCTCCCATTCAGTAGGCTGTCTTTTCATTTTATTAATGGTTTCCTTTGTTGTGCAAAAACTTTTTAGTTTGATGTAGTCCCACTTGTTTATTTTTTCTCTTGTTTCCCTTGCCCAAGGAGCTAAATCAGAAAAAATATCACTAAGAGCAATGTCAGTGAGTTTACTGCCTATGTTTTCTTCTAGGATTTTTATGATTTTGGTCTTACAGTTAAGTCTTTAATCCATTTTGAATTTATTCTTGTATATGATATAAGAAGGTGGTCCAGTTTCATTTGATTTTCCATGTATCTGTCTAGTTTTCTCAACACCATTTATTGAATAGACTGTCTCTATCCTACTGTATGTTCTTGCCTCCTTTGTCATAGATTAAATGACCATGTAGTCGTGGGTTTATTTCTGGTCTCTCTATTCTGTTTCATTGATCTATATGTCTTTTTAATGCCTGTACCATGTCATTTTGATTACTATAGCCCTGTAGTATAGTTTGCTATCAGGCAGCATGATACCTCCATTTGTGTTCTTCTTTCTCAAGATTGCTTTGGCTATTCAGGGTCTTTTGTGGTTTCATATAAGTTTTAAGATTATTTTTTTCAGTTCTGTGAAAAATGCCATTGGTATTTTGATAGGGATTTCATTACATCTATAGGTTACTTTGGGTAGCATGGACATTTTAACAATGTTAATTTTTCCTATCCAACAGCAAGATATATGCTTCCATTTATTTGTATTTTCCTCATTTTTTTTCTTCCATGTCTTATAATTTTCCAAGTCTTTTGCCTTTTTGGTTAAATTTATTCATATATACCGGGGGTACCAAAAAAATGTATACACATTTTAAGAGATGGTCAGCGTTGCTCAAGCAGTAGTTTGCCATAATCAGAAGTGTCTGGATGCTGATGGTAACCACTTTGAGCACCTCTTGTAATTGCAGAAGTCAAATGTGACTTGTATTCAGTTTTTGTTATCAGTATATTTTGAATGTTACAACTTTAATACAGTTTTTTTCTTTCTTAAAATGTGTATACATTTTTTTTGCATCGTGTGTGTGTGTGTGTGTGTGTGTATTTAATGCAATTGGAAATGGGGTTGTTATTTAAATTTTTCTTTCTGATATTCATTATAGGTGTATAAAAATGCAGTTGACTTCTGAATATTGATTTTGTATCCTGCTACTTTACTGAATTCATTTATCAGTTCTAACAGTTATTGGGTGGAAACTTCAGAGTGCTCTAGGTATACTATCATGTCATCTGCAATTAGTGACAGTTTTAGTTCTTCCTTTCCGATTTGGATGCCTTTATTTCTTTTTCTTGTCTGATTGCTGTAGCAAGGACTTCCAGTACGATGTGAATAAAAGTGGACGTCCTTGCCTTGTTCCTGATCTTAAGGAGAACGCTTTTAGCTTTTTCCTGTTGAGTGTGAGGTTTGCTTTGGGTTTGTCATATATGGCCTTTATTATGTTGAGGTATATTCCATCTATTCCCACTTTGCTGAAAGTTTTTGTTATCATAAATGGATGCTGGATTTTGTCAAATGCTTTTTCTGCATCTATTGATATCATCATATGATTTTTATCCTTTACTGTGTTTATGTGGTTGTGTGGACCCAGCTGTCAGGGCCCCCTAGTGTTGGAAGCCGTTGACAGGCTTTGGAGGTGGGCCAGCCTGGCCCCTCCCCTCTGAGCAGGACAGAGGGGAAGACAGGCTGGTGCAAGATCGCTTGTAAGTTTAATGTATGTGTAAGTTTCGTGTAAGTTTCTCCCTAGTGCGCGTGTGTTGTTGGCACCATGCCACTATTGTTCATGTGTGTATATAAACCCTGCTTCCATTTTGATCGCTCTCTCTGGCCCTGGCCTCAGATGAATAAAGAGCTGTTGCTGCATTTATGGCACAGCTGCCATGTGCTTTCTTTCGTTTGGGCATCTCACCACCAAAATGGTCCCTGGTTGACACACTCAGACCCAACAGTGGTGTATCATGTTAATTGATTTACAGATATTGAAACAACCTTGCATCCCAGGAATAATAACTATGGTGTTTGATTTTTAAAAATATGTTGTTGAATTTGGTTTGAGAATATTTTGCTGAGGATTTTTGCATCTATGTTCATCAGGGATATCATCCTATAATTTTCTTTGTTCGTAATGTCTTTGGCTTTGGAATCACAGTAATTGTTACCTCATAAAATGAGCTTGGAAGCTTTGGGTGAATTTTTTGGAATAGTTTGAGAGGTATAGGTGTTAATTCTTCTTTGAAAGTTTGGTGAAATTTACCTGTGAAGCCATCCGGTCCAGGACTTTTGTTTGCTGGGAATTTTTTGGTTACTGATTTGATTTCGTTAGTAGTAATTGGCCTGTTCAGATGTTCTGTTTCTTCTTGATTCAGTCTTGGAAGGTTGTATTTTTCTAGAATGATCCATTTCTTCTAGATTGTCCCATTTGATGGCACATAATTGTTCATAGTATTTTCTTATAATTCTTTGTATTTCTGTGGAGTCTGGTTAAAGGTTTATTGATTTTGTTTATTTTTTACAGAGAATCCGCTCTTGGTTTCATTGATCTCGTATTGTTTTTTTTAGACTCTATTTCGTTTATTTCCTCTGTGATCTTTATTCTTTCCTTCCTTCTATTCACTGTGGGCTTTTTTGCTGTCCTTTTTCTGCTTCTTTAAAGTGTAAGGTTAGGTTGTTTATTTGACATTTTTCTTGTTTCTCAAGGTAGGCCTGTATTGCTATGAATTTCCCTCTCAGGACTGCCTTCGCTATGTCTCATAGATTTTGGGTCATTGTGTTTTCATTTTAATTTGTCTTAATGTATATTTTGATTTATTCCTTGATTTCTTTGTTGACCTATTCATTATTTAGTAGCATGTTATGTAGCCTCTATATGTTTTTGTTTTCAGTTTTTTTCTTGTAATTTATTTCTATTTTCATACAATTTTGGTTACTAAAGATGCTTGATATGATTTCAACCCTCTTAAATTTATTTAGACTTGTTTTGTGGCCTAACATGTGTCTATTTTGGAAAAGTTCCATGTGCACTTGAAAAGAATGTATATTCTGCTGCTTTGGGGTTAAATGGTCTAAAAAAATTTCAATTAAATCCATCTGGTCTAATGTGTTATTTAAGGCCGCTATTTCCTTGTTGATTTTCTGTCTGGAAGGTCTGTCCACTGGTGTCAATGGGGTTTTAAAATACTGTACTATGACTGTACTACTGTCATTCTCTCCCTTTATGTCAGTTAATATTTGCTTTATATATTTCCGTGCTCCTATATTGGGTGCATAAATGTTTATAAGGGTTCTTCTATCCTCTTGTTCAATTGATCCTTTAATCATTATGTAATGTCCTTCTTTGTCTCTTATAGCTTTTGTTTTCAAGTCCATTTTGTCTCAT